CCTGCTCTGAATCGTGTTTTATCATAATATCCAAATGAAAAACAGAAAGTTACACTTACATCTTATTTCTTTTAACCAAAGCCTTTCAAAACTAGAAGACAGAAATGTTATTCTTTATGAAGCTATTAAATATATTAATACACTTGTAATACTCATTTTCTTCACAGATTCTTTTAGAAAGAAAAGTTTCAGTTAAACAAAAAATTACCTATAATCATAATATGGTTAAGATAAGAATGTTAATCCTTTCAAGTGTTGATTAAAAATGCAATGAATGAATATATTCAACTTAATAATACATGTATTATACTTATTAAATTTATAATTCTCCAAATGAAACAACAGGAAAGCTAATTTTAAAAATTGCTAATGAGTTAGGTATTTTTGACATGCAGTCATAAAGGAGCATACTTCATAAATTCTAGTCATTCATCCTTAATTTCATTTTGAAGCACTTCTCTTACAATTTAACTCTTATCATTAGTTATTCTTAATATTTTTCTAAATCATTCATTCACTAAGGTCAAGAAAGCAGGTGAGAAGTTTGTTGTAAATTTTAGAGGTAATGTTTCATGTGACAAATGCTCACTAGGGCATTTTATATTATGTATATAAATTGTGAACAAAACTATTAAAAAATTGGCCTTAGCTAGAGGCATTGCCAAAGGCTTGTTTGGCAACCTGGCGTGCTATGGAGTGAAGATATAACTTTTAGGAGTCAGGGCAAAGGACAAAAGTGAAGTCATAGTGTGTGAGGTCTTGATGGGCTGTCAGGACATTCTGCCTTGGCACAGGAAGTGAGGTCACAGTAGGCATGGCCCTGGCGGGATATTCTACCTTGCTATAAGCCTGAAAGAATGGAGCCAAGTGACTGCTGACCTGAAACCTCTGAAACTGTAAACCAAAATATTTTTTTCATCTTCAATTGTTTGTCTCAGGTATTTTGTCACAGCAATTAAAAGCTAACACACTGCACAACTTTAGACACATTACTCAGCTTCTTAGTAACTCTTTGTCTGTAATATGTGAATTGTACCCATAGCCTATATGTACATGAATTCATGCAGAACACATTCATCAGGTCACCTGGTCCCTCACTGGAGTATGTGATATGGATGAATTGAATGTGATACAGCAGAGGAAATTCTGTCTCTAAGTTTTACTTCTACGTTTCTTACAGTCCCTGACTCTGGTAACAGAATTTCTACTTAGTACTACAGTTCATAAAGTAGAGCCTAAAAATTCAAAAAGAAAAATTTCTGCCATCTAGCTTTGTAATTTTAACAGTGGTTTTATAGATGTGTCTTGATCATATAGTTTAGAGACACAGTGTAAACTCACTGCTTGAGAGCAAAGGAAATCTAAGTTCATCGTAAAGATGTATTGAAACATTTTCTTCTGGAATATTTTCATGACTAAAGAGGAGATATTTATTATTCATGCTTTATGACACTACAAAGGAGGAATAAATTTTCCAGGCGGCGATCTAAAAATTTGGATCTTCACTATAAACCAAATATTATGTGATTTACCAATCTACTGGGATAATGCAATCAACTCCCAAGTATCAAGATATATTTTTGTTGTGTTTAGCCAGAATGACATGTTTTCCACCTCATAAAACAGCTCAGCTGAAAGAGATGTCTTCTGAAAAAAAAATTGCCCTTCTAAACCAGTTTTCCCATAGAGAACTAAATGATAGCTTTTTATTTCTTTTAATATATTTGAACATTTTTGAGGGTGACAAAAAAGAGACATTTGAAAATATAACAATATATAGGATGCAACCAGTAATGCATATTGAAAATTTAATTCTCTATTCAATTATAGCAAAAAAAGTCATTTCCTTTTTGATTCCTAAAAGTATATTTCTAAAACTCTGTATGTTTCTTTCCTTGATTGTCTTTGCAACTTGAATTTTCTGGAGTTTCATCTATTAAATTATTTTTTGGTCAAAAACTGGTATTTAGTATTTAATAAGTTTTCACTTTGTAAAAAGTCACTCTGAGCAAACTTTCCAAGATTTCATTAAAACTTTTGAATTACTTTATGAAATTGAGGATTGATGCTTACATATTTTAACATAGAAAGAATTGTGACAACAAAATTGTGGAATATAGACATCTAGAAATTGCCTCCTACATAAAAGCAATGGGAAAATTAGTTTAAAAATCAGTTTTTTTGAATAATTCTGGACTTATTAACAGATAGTAGCTCTGCACTGTAGCCTTTGATCAATCTGGTGAGAATTTATTAAAGAAAAGTGCCTGAACCTTGCTAAGAGCAACAAATACAATAGCATTTTAACTTGTTGTGTCCCCAATCTTCTGCTTTCTGGTCAAATGTAGACTCGAAAACCAATAATCTAGAACCATAGAAAATCAAATGTTTGGAAATCACTAAAGAAGGGAGAAAGGAGTCGCAGTTCTTTGAGTTCAGTCCCACAAATCTACCATTATTTAACAAGTGTGGGGCTCCGTGCAAGGACGTTCTTGTATGGCTATCTTCATGTGACCTCGTGTGGAAATCGTTCAATGTGGAAACCTTTTCTTCAGAAAAGGTTGTGAGAAACAGTGATAGCCAGCTGTTAACTTGTGTGGCTCAGAGCAAGAGGGAGAAACAGTGAACTAACACATCTCAAACATGTATAGATCTGTGCAGATCTCCAGAAGGAGTGCATGGCCAGAAAAGACCGAGAAGACCTTAGCACCTAATTGTGACTCACTTTGAGAAGCTATAGGAACAGAAAGTAGAGGCTGACCATGGATTTGTAACTGCTTGTCTGAGTTTAAAGGGACAGCCCAAAATGAACACAGTGTCTCCCAATAAAAGCCAGCAACACTGTTTTGTAGATTTGTCACAAAAGCCTGATAGCAGGACAAATCACTGTTGCCCTCAATGAGAAACACAAACAATACTGAAAATTGCAACACATTGCAGCAGGAACACCAGAGAAGAAACCTCCGTGGAAGAAAACCCTGAACTGTAATGTATAAATTACTGGAGGCTCAGAGGGAATGAGTTTGAAGGTTAAAATCCTTAGGACACTGAATTGTAGGAGGACCATTATATTTCTTTGAGTTATACTTCCAGGAAACTGGTATATCTTTCATAGTGAATCTCACCAGAAATGACCATCAAGCTTCTAGCAGCGTAAGGAGTGTAGAGATAATTTTGAAATACAGCAGAGTGCTCTACTTGTAGTAAGGCACCCCCATAAGAAAAATGAATCCACCAGGTCCTAAAACTATTGGGCTTTTATGAGCCTATACCTGACCTGTGAGAAAGCAATACCCAACTCCAACTGAATGGACAAATGCAAAATACTGAAAGGGTCAGTTCCTGGTAAGGATGCAGTCAGCTGATAAAACAAGTCTCAATAAAAATTTTAAAATTCAATCATCAAGTATTATATGGCCTATGACAACTATCACATGAAATTAGAAATCAGTAGTGAAAGGAAATTGGGATAATAAGGCAAAGAAAGCAAAGTTTTAAAAAATAAAACTGAATTTTTTGAATTTAAAATCTAGTTGGAGTTTAAATGGAAATTTTTTTATGAGTGTGGGCTTACATCACCCTTCTTGAGGAGGTGATACCTGTACAGAACACATCTTAATTTTTTTACTTCCCCCCACCATTTCTTGGTGCCCTTGACTTTTGCAAAAGATCTATCTCCCTATTTCATATTATCTATTCTTTATTTTGATATATACTTATATTTTAGGTTTCTCATATAATAGAAGCCATTCAGTATTTAAATATTGATTTATTTCATGTAACATTATGGTCATAAGCTGCATCCTCTTTCCTACAAAGGACTCCAAGTGTATTCTTTTTCATGTGCTTCTATTGAGAGTTGTAAAAAGTATAAATAGTCATGATTTCTGCCTTTCCCTCTAAGACTGACAGAGAATTCTCCTCTGTCTGTGACCTTTTTGTTTTATCACCATCCAGGAGTCTTCTTTATAGGACAATATCCCTAATCACCATCAGTAACTTCACTCTTCCATTAATCTTGATTTTTACAACACTCATTGGTAGACATATTTTTAAAATTTTTGTTCCATTGGTAGAAAATGGCAACCCCTCAAATCAGACTTTAATCAAAAGCTAAGTGTTTTCGCTACTCAGATAAGAAACATTTCTTCTGCTAGAAGGTTCCAGTAAGTTTCACTCAGAAAATATTTTTATATACATCGTATCCTAAACACCATAGGAATTAATAAACGAAATTCAGAATCTTTGGCAATCTCATTATCTATTAGGTGTACAGTGCCAGTCAGACAAGCCCACAAATAGTTTCGATTACATACGAAATGGAATAAATGTCATAACTAAGAGATGAAAAACTACAGTTATCAACCAAAAAGCAATTGTTGCATCTAACTAAAGTACTGAGTGAAAGCTTCTCATAGAGCAGTGATTCTTAACCTTGCAAACTTTAAGAAAGATTGAAGACTAGAAACAACTTCAGCCAAATAAAACGAGTACCTCATGCAAATGGCCTATCAGGACCTTTTAACATCTCCCTACTTAATTCCTAGACTCAGTGGCCCAAGTCCATGCCTGGCTAGTGTGAGGTCATGAGTTTGATTCACAGTACCAAAAACAAAATAAAAAAAATAAAATCAATAATAAATATTTGATAAGGTGGATTTGTTTAATGTAGTTTAAACATTATACAATGTATACACATGTCAAAATATTTTACCATATCAATATGTATAATTTTTTATGTTTTTACATATCGGTTAAAATTTTGACTTTAAAAAGTTACTAAATATATTAAACAAAGTGATAAATTCTTAGGTAAAGAATGTGTAATTAAGATGTATGAAATATTTGTCTTCTTTGAGTCCTTTATTCAAAGTACCAGAATTCAGGTTTTTTTAATTCACTGAATTAGAGTGGAAAACATCGCTTCTACTTGTTGATTGTTTTCAGTTGGATTGATAAAGTTATCAAAAATATACTTCTTCAAATGCAAAACACTATACCTGGAAAGTCCATAGGCAATTCAAACGGTTGTGGAGATTCACAACTTTCAATATTTTCACAAATTTCAGCTATAATCTTCTTAATTTTGAGGCCAGTGATCTTAATCACTTCTCCTGTTGAAAAACAGCATTCATTTCCAGACATTTCATAAATAGAACCTGAATGGGAAAGAGAAAAGTAAACAATAATTTTTAAAACATAGTTAACTGCTGCAGAACAAAGAGAGCAAAAACCTTGCATAAAGTGTTTGCTGTTCCTCCCTTTGCTACCTCCCGGAGACAACGAATTTAATTAAGTTTTCAGAATGTACACAGTGTTGCAGGGATCATATTGGAGTTTCACTTCCCCACCGGACAAACTATAAACAATTTTACTTTTGTATCATTGTACATTGAACTTATGGCTCTGTTAGCACCTTTCGCTCATCTGTCCAATGTCAAACTACAAATATGTTTTCCCCTGCAGGGTTTCTGATCTATTTTTACCAGGTCACAGAAGGAGGCTCGAATAAGCAAACGGTGATCAAAATAAATACTGCCACAAGTTTGTACACAGGCCCCAAGATCTAGACAGAGATCTGCCTATTGGGGTTTTATATTAAGGGCATCACATATATTTATTAGATCTGTTTATTTTCATTTTCATGAATATAAGACTTTGCACACTTTTATCTGTTTTTTGTTGTTGTTTCATCATCTTTTTGAGACAAGGTCTCACAATGCAGTTTAGGCTGGCTTTGGGCTCACTTTGTAGCCCAGGCTAGTCTTGAATTTGCAAGTGATTCTCCTGCGTCAGCCTCCCAAGTGCTGGGATTACAGGAGTGCACCACCATGCCTAGCTTTATATCTACTGGTATTTAGTAAACTGAAAACAACTCTCAATAACTTTAAGGCAGGCCAGATAAGCAAAAAAGCTTCATATTAGTTCAGTCTCCTTCCTGAGAAACTTTTCATCATAGATGCTAATGTTTAGCTTTGTATCCAATTATTTTTTAACCCCTCCACTGCATAGAAGGACAATGAATAGTGGAGAAATGAAAAATAGAGCTACAGGAAAGAAGACAGGCACTAGCTCTGGCCAATCCACCCTGCTAAAACTGCAGCAACCCCAGACTGCTTCCCCTTCGTACTATTGCATTACAACTGCGCAATAAAATCAGACGGATAGAAATAAACCTTATGGAACCATAGACTTTAAAGTATAGTAGGGATAGTTTCTTACTTTCAAGATGGTGTACAGTCTCCTTACGCCACTAAATCTAAAATGTGTAGGGACAAGATTTTAGATTGGTTCTTTTCTGAATTTTTCTGAATTAAACACTCACAACTCTTACCTGAGACATAGTAAGAAATTAAAAGTATTCTTGGCATTAGTAGTTCCTTATAATTAAAAATGTTACTAAATCTGGCATCCAATCTAGCTTTAAACAAAGGTATGAGAGTGCAATAGATAGTGGAACAAACATAGATGCACAGCCAGTCCTAGGCAACCTACAAAAATAAATGTCCTGGCCACATACTCCTTCTTGGATGCCCTATTACCAACTCCCACCAGAAGCCAGAGGACACAAGCACAGTCATTTGTCCCACAGAAGTCAGAGAGAGGAAATCAGATAAAGTGGAAATAAAGACCAAGCATACAAACACTGTTGTCCACTATGTAACAGAGAGTATTCTTGTAGACGAGATTCTGTTCTGCCCTGCAACCTGCAGTGTATGCTGTGCTTCTGCACTCCTGTGTTTTCTCACATTGTTCTCTCAACCACTTCCATCCTTATGCTTTTTTAACCCCAGTACACAGCATTATCATGTCTCGAATCCTTTGTGGAACACATCGAATTATTAAGGAATAGAAAGTTCATGGTGTCATTTTTCTCCAGTGATCTCAGAATACTTATTTGCTACGATCTCTTTTCGTCAACTAACTACATACTAACATTTTACATCTTCAGTGTTACCTCACTCTGTATTTAACTTTTTGTGGGTTTAATATTATTACTACCATCTCAGTTGCAGGAAAAAAAGATCTTGCATTAGATTTTAGCCTGACTACAACACCTCAATCTCCCTGCTTCCTTTAGTCAACAAACTTTAAGAAGAGCCTCCTCTGTGTCAGACGTTGTGATGAGCAGTAAGTATCAGAGATGAAAGCCATAATAGTTTCCTCACCCTGAGGAACGGTCAACTAGGCAGATAATTGCAGCCAACTATGATAAAGCTGCAATTATGCAGAAAATACAAGATATGATGGGAAGATACCAGAAACTGCTTAACTGAGCAGTTATGTGGGAAAGAGACTGGAGAATGATTCCTAAGGAGAGGACACCTAAGCTAGAATTCAAAGGAAATATCACAAGATCCTAAGATGAGCAGAGGAAGAAGTATTTGGAAAGGGACTGAGATGAGGAGTCTAATACATTCTAGAAACTTCAAGTAGCTTTATGTCTAAACTGTTTGGAAAGAAGATAGATTGATAAGAAAAAAATAGAGACAACAGAAGTAGATAGAAGGGGGCGGAATCATGCAGCCTTTGTGAAATTACCCAGACACAAAAGCCATCAAATTTGAAGCAACCTCAGAGTCAGAGAATTCACTTTTCCAGTTACAGGGGTCCAGGAAGAAGCACCAATTTAGTAAAAGGTCACTCGTAGTCCAGGTTCACTGTCCGAAATGTGCCTTGTTGTGTCACCTGGGAACTTGTTAGAGTCTCGGCCAGGCCCAGACGTGATGAATCAGAACCCGCGTTTTTAACAAGGTCCCCAGATGATTTGTAAGTACATTAAAGTCTGAGAAGCAGTGGTCTAGGCAACAAATACATAACCTCTGTAGTCTGTTTGGGGAGTATTGTAAAACTAAGCGAAGAGAGGAAGGAAGAGAAAGTCTGGGAAGACAAGAGGCTGCTTTAAGTGAGTGCAGGAAAGGAAAGGATTTCAAGTAGGGAAGTAGCGTGGTATTTTTTGTCGCGTTAAATAGAACACACGTTAACCTGGTCAATTTCAGGTACAGCCTCTGGGCTTAATTTCCACACAGTGAGTATCTAATTGCAGATGTGCTATAAATCCAACACCCGTCTTGGAGCATCATTTTCCTTTCAAAGTTTCAAATATGATCCAAAGTGAAATGATAGATTCGTGTGAGATTATGTATCAATTCACAGGGACAGAGAGCCAGAGAATTCAGTGAGAAAATTCTGTGAGTTTTGGTCACCACATAAAAAACTTCTGACTTTCTAAGTCTTGTTCTAAGCATTTCTTTTCTTTTGTAAAAAAGAAAAAAATTCATTTCTCCCGGTCATATAAGGAAAAGAATCTCACACAAATGCTAACCTTCAACATTTCTCTTTTATGTTTTCTGACTTCCAGTTTTTTCTAACCTCCAAACCTGCTAGCTCATCTTTATAAAGAGAATGTTCAGTGATGTCCACCACTAGGAAGTTGTGCCTGTGAAAGGTGCCAAGGATATACGGCCAACCTCAAATCTCTGAAACTGCATAGACTTTGTTATCACTAATATAATGGCTCTTAAAACATGTTCTTCTTTGGTTCTTCTATAAAATGGTGAATTTTAAAAATAACCAACTTTCATAGTCTCAGGTGTAATTGCTTTTTAAAATTTTGTTGAGATGTGTCTGAAATATGTTTGTGTATACATAGACATGCATATTAAAATGGCATTCATTTCATTTTAACCACGAGATACATACTTTGAATATGTGAGTCTCACATCTATTAAATCTTTGCAGACTGATTCTTTCCAAGTCAGAGCATATGTATTCTGGATAATGCCAAACATCAGAGAAAGCTGGAACAAAGCAGCCTGTTTTCAGTGATCAAGCATCAGCCCGGAAGGCAGTAATGAAAGAGCCATGTGCCTTTGAAATCACCTTTTCTGTAATGCTACTTTGCTCAATGAAAAGGATACATTAATATCCTTTTATGAACTCACCTCTCATTTGACAGTCCATATAAGTAATGCTGTGATCACACTGAAACAGCCAAGACAATTGGTTCGATAGATTTTCTTCCATTTTCCCTCAAAGTTAAAAATGTGTGACAGCCAGGAAAGAAGTTACACTGTTTGGAGGTTTTCTCCTCTTCACACAAATGCATTCTGCCTCACCACAGCAAAAAGTCGCTTAAGCCCTTCTCTTCTTCATCTACCTGTCCAAGCCCAACCAATCCCAAAACTTCAGCTCATGCTCATCTTCTTCAAAGCCTTTTTGGATCCCCACAACTAAGTAAAATTCTCTCCTCTGCTCCCTCATAGTGATTTGTATTTGTCTCCATTATCACAATATGTGATTATTATCACAGCCTGCTACTACTATGTTATTTTCTGGCCATTAACATTGTATATATTTTGGAACCTGCTATAAATTCCTATCTTAACTATATTGATATCCCCCAACCCACACGCATAACTAGTTACACATGGGTTACACATAGGTACCTAGGTTATAGTGAATTACTACTGAGCAGTACTGTGAAATGTCAATAAAATGTTGGGAGTAAGATAATGATCATTGTACATCAGAGATTAAAGCATATTCAACTAAAGGTTTTGGTGTGGGTCACACCTTCAGTTGGTAATTTAAGTATTTGCGAGGTGAGATGGTCACATTGTGAATTCCCCAGACAAGGAATATTACGGATAGATGAGTCTATAATCTAATTTCTACGTATTTTGCCACTTTACCATCGTGATTGCCATTTTTACATTGCCACAGCTGAGGTGGGAGTTCATGTGAGGATCGGAGATAGATATGAAAGAACCAGGATTTGTATCTGCAGACTGTGATTGATAATACAGACACTCACACCAGATTGTGGTCCCCAGTGCAGTTGCCTCTTTCCTTAAGGAAAGCACACACTATCAGTAAGGAGAGTTTTCTTAAGAGGAAGCCTTCAGTGTGAAATGATCTCATTAGAATCATTTCCCTCGACTAGGTGGTTGATAAGGCATTACACACCATTAGAGTTCAGGGTTCGTCTAGATAGTTCACCATAGGAATGGCACTAATGGGACTGTGGTCGTAACAGGCATTTACATGACCAGTCTTCCATTCAGATTCTCTTTTCATCCCTTAGGTAGTGGCAAAGTCTTTCTCACTATTTGAAGCATTATTTTTTTTTAAATTGAAACATACTATTGGATACAGT